AAAAAAAAAAAAAAAAAAAAAAAAAAATTGAGGGTAATTAAATGCGTGTGTTCGATATATATATTCGATCATTTCTTTTTACACAGTTCATTTTCGTCTTCTACGTTACTGTTTATCGATGTTTGAACGAAATTTGATGAAAAAGATGAATGATAAAAATATGCGAGGCAGTGTGACAGAATTTAGAATCCTTACGAAGTGATATTTTATCACGTCTGACATCTCTTTCACAGATGCCTAGGTATTTTGGGTGTTTTTTGATATTTTAAATAATAAAATGCATTGTTCTTGTAATAACTTTTATATATTTCTTTTCCTTTTTTTTTGTCTTTCGTTTTCTCGCCTTTCATTACTCTTTCCACGGTATCTCTTCTTCTTCGTTTCTAACGCTTTTCTTTGTACACATCTCGCTCTTCACATTTTTTACATTTCAATAACTGTAACACTAGGAATGGAGATCGGAATTTTTTTTTTTCTTTTTTTGTTTTGGCACTCTGTAGAGAAACGTACGAATATATTAAAGATAAAATCACGACGAAGTAAACTTTGTTCCCACAGTTATATTATACGGCCGTGTTTGAAAGCTCGTTGTATATCTCGTCGAGTAAGGAGTTCTTGAAAACGGTGTGTGACCTATGAACAGACGACGCATCGATGTCGACGGTATCCAACTGCGTGACTCTGTAACGTGAAGAAGGAGTTATTCATTCCGGTGTGAACGTTTACAAAATTAATCAGGAGCCTTCGTGTCATTACCAAAATCTGCGTGTCATATATACGTCGCTTATAGAGCGCGACCTCTGCCTGTTTGTTGTGCATGCAAAACGAACCTTTAGCAAAATATAAAAACGGACACGAGAGAGCGTAAGCGTTGCATTACGGAGGAGGAGATCACGTTACCTCTTATTGGCATTCTGTCGTTTAATCCCATTAAGCAAGTTCACTATGGGCGGCGTTAGTGTTGGACGAAATATCTGCAAGGGAAAGCGATAGAGGCACGTGAAACACACAGTTCGAAACAACAGGGATATATTATCAGAGATGTGTTCGTACCGTGACGGAAGCACTCCGCATTTCACGGAGATCAATATTTCTAAATAGATCGTGAACAAGAAGCTCCTCTACAATCTTGTGACGATTAGGCGTTTCGGTAAATATGAACTTGAGTAACTCGACGACCTGCGTACAAACATTTCCATTTTGGCTACAGATCTTTTCTTTTCTTTTCTCGTGAAATTTGCTGAGAATATGGAGGGCACACAGAGGGGGTTGGATTTTTGTAACGTTTTGTAAATTTACTAAATCGCTTTCTTATAATATCGTAGAGATAAAGAGATCGTGTCAATTGTAACCGATTATAGTGAAACGCTGATATTTCAGATGGAAAGTAAAGTAGAACCGCGGGGGCAGGTGAGATAGAAATGTAGAGAGAGAGAGAAAGCAAGTAACAGACAAGAATGAAAAGAAGAGGGAAAGAAAGATCGTGATATATGTACTTGTGGATATATCTCAACGTCCGACAGATGCATGGAATTCGGTTTGAACGATGGTAATTCGTAACCGGCACACATCTCGAACAACATATGACCTGTAAAAAAGAAAAAAAAAAAGAAATGAGAGAAACACCGATTGTCATCGTCGAAAGGTGAAATGAAACGACTTAAAAGGTCGTCGAGATCAATCTTACCGAAGCATATCATATCAATGGAGATGCTCTGCGAGATCCGAGAAGCGATCAACGGATGTATACGACTGGTGAAACCGAGGAGCGTGTTTTCTAGGCCAGCGAGACGCGCGACACCGTTTTGAACGAGCACGTTCCCCGAGTGCAGGTGGATTACCGTTGGAAATCCCCTTTCTTTCAAAAAGATCAACGCTTCCAGCACTTGACGGCCCATTTGTTGAACCTGAGGCAAAGGAAGCCCTTTACCGCGTGAACCGTATTTCTGATTCCAGTCCTCGTTCCAACCTGTCCTTTCGATCTAGCCAGAAGAAAAGAATACAAAGTGCATATAAGTTTCGTTTAATTTCACAAGTTTTGTCTTAATCTTTTTTGTATTTTACTTTGTTTGCTGTCGATTGTACATGTACACACAGTGAAGAGCATAACTATACCGGTGACGATGAAAAATTATTAACATTAAAAAATTTTTCCTACGACTGTTAAATCTACCATGAAGATTTTGAAGATTGAAATTTTTTTCTTTGCAATGATCCCTCGCTGTACGATTTTTTTTTTAAATGACAAAACGTTGGGATTTTCGAATTCTTGTCGTTCAATCTTAATATTCAACATTGAATAAAAAAACGGTAAAGAAAAAAATTGTAGAACAAGTTCATTACGAAGGAGAAATTTCAATCTTCAAAATAACGATGGATCTTCATAATTTTCGAGAAGAATGTGTCCTCAGTTTCCTACCCGCATCACGTGATGTAACAATCATCTTAAAAAGAAGCAAACTTACGACTATCGAAATGGGAAGCTTCGTCTCTTAAAATGAGATCAAATGATCTTTCTTTTCTACAAAGTTATATCAGTTCAAATGATTCACAATTTCTCACGGTTATCATCCGTCGGTACGATAACGTTCTTCACATACGCATCAAGATACTCACCCCGTATATCAAATCCTTCAAGCTACCTTGACTAATCGGTTGAACTACGACCACGTAGTTTTGACTTTCGAATTCGAGGAAGTCGATATCGAATATAGGGCATATATACGGATGTTGCAAGGCTAAGAACAAGTCGTTCAAAATGTTCTTTGTCAGTGGAGTTATGCTCAGCGAGCAGTTTCTATTCAACGGAGCCAGCGTGATCAGTCGATCGGTTTTTAAAGAGGTATCTCTCACCACGAACCAGTGTTTGTCCATTCTAGAACCTGACGCGAAAAATAAAGAGAATTGAAAATTAATTTATCTCGGATATGC